GATAAGTTTACCTTTAGATAATGCAAGTGCTAATAGTACAACTATAGATTTTTTTAAAATTAATTATCATTTTTATAACAATTTGAAGTTTTTTCACCAACGTTATGCATGTCACATTATTAATTTAAATATGAAAAGTGATATGAAAATAATTAAAGCTAATATTGATAGAATTAAGGATTCTTTAGCTTTGATTACTAATAGTAATAAAATAAATACTGAATTTCAAGATGCTTGTATAAAATCAAATACGTCTGCTAGAACTTTTGCATTAGACATGCTTGTTAGTGGAATAGTACTTATTTAATGTTTGATTCATGTTTACCTTTTGCAAATTTAATTAGTTATTTTGTAGCAAATAATAGAGGTCCTCATTATTTGGTAAAAAATGATTGGCAAATAGCTAAAGTATTTCATTCTTTTCTTAAAGTTTTTTACCAATCCACTTTACAACTTTCTGGTGTATATTATCCTACTAGTCCATTGGTAATACATACAATTATAAAAATTTCAGAGTTATTTACAAAAAACAAAAACAATGAAATTTTAAAAAAACCAATAAAGGCAATGGAATTTTTTTTTTTAAATATTTTAAACCCATTCATTTTCTTTATTATTTAGGTGCTATATTTGATTCTAAAATTAAACAAGAAGGTTTAGAAAATGGTTTAGAGACATTAACTGAAAATTTACAAAACGTAGCATTTGCCAATCAAATAGGAGAGATAAAAAATTGTCTTGTAGAGTATATTTCCAATATAAAAATAGGTATGGGAACTCGCAAAGACAAGAAATACACAGGAAAGTTGCATCAGAAGAAACAAATGAAGACTTCTACACTTGGAGCGCATTTAATAGGCCGAAGAGGACCCGAACCCTAAGCACAGGCACAACCTCCTCTTCAGAAGCACCAATGACAACAACGAATATACTGTCTGTCATGCAATCACAGAGTAATGAGCTTCAACAATATTTGGGAACTCCCGAAATGTTACTAACAGATCCACAACAAAGAGCCAACTTTGATGTCTTAGAATATTGGAAAACTATAAAATGTATTTTTCCGGTATTATCAAGACTTGCCTTGGATGTTTTTGTTGTTCTTGTCTCAACCGTCTTATCCGAACAAATATTTAGTGCAAGTGGAAAAAATTTAAATGAAAGGAGGACTAAACTTTCACAAAAAATAATTGAAGTCCTCACATGTCTTTCATATTGGGAACGATCTCGCTATCAAGATCAATACGAGGTTGTTGACGATACTTTAATATAATCATTTCAATTTTGTAATATAGATGATACGGATGAGGGAGGTCCTAGTCAACCCCAAAATTAGTTGTTTTGTAAATTGTAACTTGTAAATTAATTGTCAATTATTACACTTTTTTTTCCTTACCAGGTTTTTGTCCCATTGGGTTTTTCCTGGTGAGGTTTTTAATGAGGTAATAATTATTGTAATTTCTTATTTTATTTTTTGATAAATGAATAAATTTAATTTTTCTTATATTACAATTTTAATGTATCAAAATTAAATTAATATTTAAAATTTTAACAAAAAAAAAAATTTAACTTAATTTAATTATTGATATTTGAAAAGAATTTAACTAAAAATAATTACACAAAACAAAAGAAAAGAAAAAATTAAAAAAAAAAAGGAGTCGGGCTAATCCGGCCCGCCCCATAACCCGACGGGTTAGGGTTGGTGGGCAAGGTTGGGCCAACCAACCCCTAACAAGTGACGGGCCTAACCCAACCTGTCTTTGTTGGCGGTCCGGACTAGACCCGACCCGAAAAAATGAGTAACCCGCCGCGGGCCGTGCCGGGCCGGGCGGGCAACTTTTCCAACATTTTTCACATAATAACTTATTAATATGAATAACCAAACGGAGGGACTGCGAAGCATCAAAACGAAGAAGAAATGGAGGAAAAAGAAGACTTGAAGTCAGTTTTACCCTACTTGCCATTGTTGGTTCGATCATCAACTCTTTTTTGGCCATCGAAAGTAGTCGAAGCTCTTAAATCAATGGCGAAAGGACCTGAACACAGCCAGGTCAACTCAGGAGAAGTGCTTTCTGTGGCCATTTGTGACATCAGAAGCTCGCTCTCTCTCTTTGAACCTCTCGCGCCTTTTGCCCTCAATGGTTGCCTACTTTTCTTTGATGATGTAATTCTTTCTCTCCTGAAAAAAGGTTAGTATTTTTCATTTCGGTTTGTAGTTTAAATTTGAAGTGGGTTTTATGAATTTTGTGTTAATGGGTATGTTTTTACTTGTTTATTTGGGGTTATAGTTTGAATTTGAGTTGATTTTTATGAACTTCTTGTTGATGGGTTNGAGGACTAAACTTTCACAAAAAATGATTGAAGTCCTTACATGTCTTTGAGATTGGGAACGATCTCGCTATCAAGATCAATACGAGGTTGTTGACGATACTTTAATAGAATCATTTCAATTTTGTAATATAGATGATACGGATGAGGGAGGTCCTAGTCAACCCCAAAATTAATTGTTTTGTAAATTGTAACTTGTAAATTAATTGTCAATTATTGCACTCTTTTTTCCTTACCAAGTTTTTGTCCCATTGGGTTTTTCTTGGTGAGGTTTTTAATGAGGCAATAATTATTGTAATTTATTATTTTATTTTTTGATAAATGAATAAATTTAATTTTTCTTATATTACAATTTTAATGTATCAAAATTGAATTAATATTTAAAATTTTAACAAAAAAAATTTAATTTAATTTAATTATTGATATTTGAAAAGAAGTTAATTAAAAATAATTACACAAAACAAAAGAAAAGAAAAAATTAAAAAAAAAAAAGAGCCAGGCTAATCCGGCTCGCCCCATAACCCGACGGATTAGGGTTGGCGGGCAAGGCTGGGCCAGCCAACCCCTAACAAGTGACGGGCCTAACCCGGCCTGTCTTTGTTGGTGGTCAGCGCTAGACCCGACCTGACAAAATGAGTAACCCGCCACGGGCCAGGCCGGGCGGGCAACTTTCCAACATTTTTTACATAATAACTTATTAATATGAATAACCAAACGGAGAGACTGCGAAGCATCAAAACGAAGAAGAAATGGAGGAAAAAGAAGACTTGAAGTCAGTTTTACCCTACTTACCATTGTTGGTTCGATCATCAACTCTTTTTTGGCCATCGAAAGTAGTCGAAGCTCTTAAATCAATGGCGAAAGGACCTGAACACAGCCAGGTCAACTCAGAAGAAGTGCTTTCTGTGGCCATTTGTGACATCAGAAGCTCGCTCTCTCTCTTTGAACCTCTCGCGCCTTTTGCCCTCAATGGTTGCGCGCTTTTCTTTGATGATGTAATTCTTTCTCTCCTGAAAAAAGATCAGTATTTTTCATTTCGGTTTGTAGTTTAAATTTGAAGTGGGTTTTATGAATTTTGTGTTAATGGGTATGTTTTTACTTGTTTATTTGGGGTTATAGTTTGAATTTGAGTTGATTTTTATGAACTTCTTGTTGATGGGTTATTTATTTAGTTTTGTTGGCTGGATGAAAGTTTTGTTGTTGAAGTTTCAACGTGAAGTGAATTTTGTGTTAATGGGTATGTTTTTCACTTGAGTTTTGTTGTTTATTGTGGTTAATGTGATGTGAAATTTATGAGTCCTGTGTTGATTGTTATGTTTAATAGTTTGAATGTGAAGTGAAATTTGTGAGATTTGGGTTGATGGGTTTGCTTATGCCATATAATCAGGAAGAAATTGTTGGCTTGGAATCATAATGTATGTCAAAAACTCTCTTTGGATAAGCATAAGATATTATTGAACTGATTAATGAATAGCTAATTACATAAAGACATTATTAAATCTGAAGCTGAATAAGGAGGATTTGTGCAGTTTATATCTCCAGCGGAATCAACAAAGTGGTTTGGAGAGGTTGTTCCGGCATTAGCAAATTTTCTCTTGAAGTTGCCCTCTCTATTAGAAAGTCACTATCTAAATGCAGATGATTTTCTTGGAAAATATGGCATCAAAACGGATCTCCGCATATTGGGTCCACAAGAAGCAGGCATAGCGTTCCTCAGGCAGGTTTCTTTATATTTGGGCTATCAATTGTTAGGCACATGATTCAGTGCTCTGCCAAAGCTTAAATATATGGTTTTTTTAGTTCTACTAAAAGATGCTGTATATAAGTTGCATAAGTGCTGCAAAACTTGATATTTCTTGTGTCATATAATCTATTAGATAAGACACCACCTGATCATCTTAAAAATTGTTTCTTGGCCTTTTCTAGTGGTTTCATTGCTTATTCTTCTTCGCTTTTGGTTGTTTTTCTAATATGGCGTAATCATTGATAGTGTAAATGTTGCTTTTCAGGAATTGATTGGTGCTCTTCTTGCATGCTCTTTCTTTTGTTTGTTCCCAGTCACTAATAGAGGTGCAAACCATCTTCCGACCGTCAACTTTGATAAATTGTTTACGTATGTAACCTTAAGATTTTTTTTATTATAATAATTATTATTATTATTATTATTTTTATGGCGGACCATTTGAACTATACCATGCATCTGTATTAGAAATATCATAGTGACATATGGATATTCCAATATGTGTAATATTTAGGCTTGTGGATATGTACATAGTGTGATGGATAGAGTGTCTTGCACCAATGGCAAAGATTTGAAAATAATTGCAATTTGGGTAAAGATTATTATCATTTGTTGTAGAAAACAAACATTAGGAATTTCCATGTTCACCTGATTGTTTTAATGTCTCACTATGAGCAGGTGTGATTTTTTTTTTAACATAAAGTTTTACTTCATGAGTTAGCTATTTTGCTTTATGGTTGATTTGATTTTCATGGGTTCGGGTGTATCTCATGAAATCAATTGATTTCTTCTTCAGTTTGGTTAATTTTGTTTGAAACTCTTACAAATGTCTACTTTTGAAAACTTTATTTTTTAATTCTATAAAGCTAATAAATGAATAGTGTAAAACTTTCATCTTTTTCAGGAGTCTATATGAAAGTTATAGTGCAAATCAGGAAAACAAAATAAAGTTCATTGTACATTATTTTGAAAGGATATCCTCATGTATGCCTGTTATCTATGTCTCATTTGAGCGGAAGGTTCTTCCTTTAGACTCTCGTCCTTTATTCATCTCTTATCCTGATGCTGACGCTTGGAGCAAATTTGCCGTACCCCTCTGCCCTTTTGAGGTAATTCAAGATACTTCTATAATCTACTGTGTTGAATTTTATTTGTTTAGTTTCACACTTTTTAGCTGTTGATAAGGCAATTTTATACTTTGTAGGCTTACAGTTTAGGCTCAATAGAAGATCACTCCACCGATGCTCTTCAAGTGGATTTTGCAAACAAGTATATTGGAGGTGGTGCACTTCATAGGGGCTGTGTGCAGGTATATTTTCTTGTTAAATATTAGATTGTAGGGTCCTTCATGGTTTGTGCCTAATTAGGTTTTTTCATCACCTATATTTCAATTTAATTTCCAAGAATTTATTCCTTTGGCATGCATGCCTTCTCTTTGAAGTTGCTTTCCTGCAATATTTACCTTCTCATTTGTCACATGAGCCATTATCTTCTTGCATCCGACTCAATTGTAGAATCTCTGATTTCTTAATATATTTATTATCATTACAATCTTATGTAGGAAGAGATCCGTTTCATGATCAATCCAGAATTAATTGCTGGGATGCTTTTCTTGCCTTCCATGGCTGACAATGAGGCTATAGAAATTGTTGGTGCAGAAAGATTCTCAGACTATAATGGGTAAGTCTTACACATTGAACTGGTATATCCAAGATTTGATTCAATGGAGATACAGACACATAATAGGTGTTAACCATTTATTGTAAAAGGCAGAAACGGTGTCGTTTCTGCCTTCATAACTTCTTCTTCACCTGAGCAGAAACGATGTCGTCTCTCTCTGCCCATCGTCTTACTCTGCCTTTACCAACTCTACTTTACTAAATTCTGTTTTCACTCACTCACGGTTTTTCTGTTTCTCTCACTCATCAAATATTCTTTGTATAAATGTGAGTTGAGCTTCATTAATTGTAACTACTTCAGTTAATGAGAAGAAAATATCAAGATTTTTCATCTTTCTCTTTAAGATTTACATGGTATCAAAGCTCTTGACTAGCGTCAATGGCTAAAGTTCCTGGATCAAGTAACTCTACCAGCTCAATGCAACATGGAACACCTAATTTGTTCAATTCATACACTTCAGCGTTCCCTTCAAGTCTTCAAGTTGTTCATCCGAAGCTTACAAGAGACAATTATCGTGACAATTATCGATTCTGGAGATCGCAAGTTCTCTTCACGGTTGGAGCTCACGAACTTGAAGATCATCTCACAGGTTTAATTCCCTGTCCTTCACCTTTAATTGTTTCAGATTCTGATAATCCCTCTGATCTTGAAGAAGTTAGCTCAAAGGAAACCCTAACCAAGGAAAAAATCAATCCATCCTATATAGCTTGGAAAAGAACTGATAAGTTCTTAGTTACTTGGTTGNTTCATTCATATTAACCTAACATATTTCATAAATATTAACAAAATCACCACCAAACAGTATCCAATATTTTAACTTGATAGTTGATATGGTATCTAAACCATGGTTATTGTTATCCTACGATACGTGATATATATCTTACGATACGAGATATATATCTTACGATACGATTCGATACGAGTCGCCAATGATACATATCAGAAAGTGTATCATAAACCTTTCAATACGTTGATATGTAGCCTACGATACAATACGTATCTATTCATATCCTTAAAAGTATCGATACAACTTTATTAATTTGGGCCAAAGGCCCAAAAAAATTCAGGTCAGATCAGGGCACCTGACCCGGTTCACTAAAACCTGCCCAAATTTACCCATTTTGTATGGAGAAAGTGAAGAGGAAGATGTGTTGCCCATTTTGCGTGATAATAATAACATTAATGGAGAGACAAATATTGACATTGATCTTTGAAATAATATGAATGGTTGAGAGAAAATGAGATAGATTCTTAATTTTGTGATTATGTAATATTATAATTTAAAGCCAATAATACCATAAAATTCGTTAATTAATTATATGGATGATATTAATTTTTAGAAATTTTTTTATTTTTTTTATTTTAAAAAAATGTATCCTACAATACGATACGATACGATATGCTACATACAATTCGAAAAATTAGGTTTTCGACACACGATATGATACATGATTTGACAACTATGATCTAAACATGTTATATTGAACCAATTCAAGAAATTGGAGAGGAAGAATATATATAAGGGCCTTATGGCCATTACACCGAATATAGAATATTAAAAAATAGTATGACCAATTTTAGTTAACCCCCATAATTATACATAGAGGTGGAATAAATGGGCCGTATTAGGCGGGTCAACCCTAACTTGACCCGCATTAAAGAGGGCTCAACCTGGACTGCCTAGTAGGTGGGTCGGGTTGAGTCCAACCCGCATGCAAGCCCCGGGCGGGCCAGGTTGAATATGGCAACCCGATGGCCCGCAAGTTGCTATTTTGTTGTTTTTGTGAGCAACTCGCCAACCCCGCGGGGTTAGTTGTTGCAACCCGCCAACCTGGCAGGTTGACTATTAAAATTTAAAAAAAAAAAATATATATATATATTATTTATTTATTTTTTCAAATACCCATTTTACCCTTGAAATATAGCCGTTTTATAGTAGTTGGAGGGGTCTTTGTTGTCATTTTCATTTCCCATTTTTTCCTATAAATTGACCCTAAACTCTCATATTTTCTCACATCCCAAATTCTCTCATTCTCTCATTTTCTTTAATCTCTAATCTCTAATTATTCTCTTTGTTGTCAATTTGTTCTAATTTTAATTTTTATTAGTTTTTGCAATTTTCAATTCATATTTNCAAAATTTTCTCTCAAAATCATCTTTCTCTTTAAGATTCACATGGTATCAGAGCTCTTGACTAGCGTCAATGGCTAAAGTTCCTGGATCAAGTAACTCTACTAGCTCAATGCAACATGGAACACCTAATTTCTTCAATTCATACACTTTAACATTCCCTTCAAGTCTTCAAGTTGTTCATCCGAAGCTTACAAGAGACAATTGTCGCGACAATTATCGATTCTGGAGGTCGCAAGTTCTCTTTGCTGTTAGAGCTCACGAGCTTGAAGATCATCTCACAGGTTTAATTCCCTTTCCTTCACCTTTAATTACTTCAGATTCTGATAATCCCTCTGATCTTGAAGAAGTTAGCTCAAAGGAAACCCTAACCAAGCAAAAAATCAATCCAGCCTATATAGCTTGGAAAAGAACTGACAAGTTCTTAGTGACTTAGTTGCTAGCTTCGATATCAGAATTTATGTTCAGTTATGTGTCTAAATGTCAGTTTGTGATGGATATTTGGTTCACACTTGAGCGAGAATTCTTAACTGGCTCCAAAGCAAGAGCTTTACATTTGAAGAATCTTCTCCATAATACTCAGAAAAGAAACTTAGATGTCAATGAATACATCAAGAAAATGAAAGGAATAGTTGAAAGTCTTTTTGCCAGTGGCCAGGTCATTTCTGATGAGGATTTACTTCAACATGTGCTAGATAGTTTAGGACCTGAGTTTGACGTAGTGGTAGTAAATCTAACTTTAAGGTTAGAGTCAAAATTTGACTTAGTCCCATTGCAAGAAGCACAGTATGATCTGTTACAAAAGTACGAATGTGACTGGATAAATTTAATACAATTGACTTTTAGGGAGGATCTGTACATGTTGCCTCCACTGGTAATTTTGGTCTTCAAATTCCTCATCCTGCTACTTCAGCCACTAGTCTAGCCAATTCGTTGAGAGCTCCTGCTTCAGTCAATAGTTTTCCTCCTAATCTCCACACTGTTATCAATTCAACACCACAGCAGCCCTTTTCGGCAGATGCAACACCTCTTACTGGTCAAGTCAACTAGTACAACACTGCCTTTCCTATGAATCAATTTTAGACTACTGGTTTCAACAATTTTGGAAGAAACAAAGGTTGTGGTTATGGTAGAGGAAAACCAATTTGTCAGGTCTGTAGCAAAGCTGGTCACATAGCAGTTCAATATTATCATAGGTATAATTCTACCTATAATGGAGCTCTTCCTCAATATGGAGTTTCTGGTCACCCTTTTGGAGCTAAGTTCTTCAATAACTTAGCATCACAACATCTGCCTTCATATAATGGTTCTTATGGTGGTCATCAAGCTAATTCCTCTGCAAATTACCAATACTCAGGTGCTTCTGCTAATTTTGGAAGTCATTTTCCCAATTTTGCTCCATTCTCTCGTCATCCTGACTATGGCATACAACAGCAACATAATACTTTTACTAGAGTTCAACAGCAGCATCAAACATTTGTTGGTCCTCATCAGAACCTCCAGCAACCTATTTCATCTACTTTTACTAATACTGTTCCAAGTCAGCAAATGTGTCCTGCAAACCAAGCTCATTTGGCATCTTATCAAACTTCTTTAGCTCACACAAATCCTACAGCTTCTATGATCGCTTCTTCAGTCAATCCTCAGGATCCAGCTTGGTATATGGATTCTAGTGCAACTGATCACGTTACCTTAGACTTGAACCAGCTAAAGATTAGTAGGAACTATGATGGTATTGAGCAACTCCAAGTTGGAAATGGTGAGTTCCTAAATATCTCTTATATTGGCTTTGCCTTATTGCCTAGTTCACTTCAATCAAAATGCTTACACCTAAAAAATGTACTTTGTGTTCCTAGGATAACAAAAAATCTCCTTAGCATTTCTAAATTTACTAAGGATAATAATATGGCTGTTGAATTCACTTCTGATTATTGTATTGTTAAGGATATGGTTACAAAGACAATCTTATTGTAGGGAGAACTTAAAGCTGGCTTGTATCAACTGAACCTTCGCTCCATTCCTTTATTCCAATATGTCCAGTCTAAACAATTTGTTCCTGGTTCCTCTAATCACACGTTTAGTGTCTCTACAACAGAGTCTAAGTCTTCAACAACAGAGTCTAAGTTTGCTACAACAGAGTTTAGGTCCATTTTCGATAACTTTGAGTCATCATCACTGTCTATGTCTTCTTCAAGTCAGGTTGCATCACTTTCTTGTGATTCAAATTGTAAATTGTGTAAACTCAAGCAACTTGAGTTAAATACTTGTAATTACTTCTTTGAGAATAAAATTACCAATAATTCTGCCAATATTTCCAGTTGCGATAATGCTAATGTTACTCATGTTCCTGATTCTACATTTGATAAACATGATGCATCCACTAATTTATGTGTTTCTAATTTTGTGATTGATAAACATAATGCATCAACTAGCTTATATGTCTCTGATTCTATAGTTAATAAGCATAATTTGTCCACTAGTTCACCTAATGATAACAATGTTTCTGATTCAGTGCTTTCCAAGCATGGTTTGTTAACTAGTTCACATGAATTTGAACATCTCAGTCATGAAAACAATTTCATTGGTACATCACCTATTATGTCAAACTGTCCTCACTTAGCTCATCAGGTCAATTATAATATTGATAATTCCAATTTGACATGGCACAAATGACTAGGACATTCGTATCTTGAGGTCTTTTCTAAAATTATGTCACAAATTCATAAATCAAAGTCTGTTTCAACTCTTCCCTATTGTGATGCATGCAAAATTGGAAAATTACAAAGAAATTATTTTCCTATCTCCTCTTCTAAAGCTACACAACCTCTTGAACTTGTCCATTGTGATGTTTGAGGTCCTACACCCATTGCTTCA